GTAGTACCTTATTGCTTTATTTTACCTCTTGTACTGTTGTTTTATATGAGCTCTGAACTTTAGCTTTTGGGTGGTTTTACACTGATGGGTGTCTATTGTGCTTATCCATGTATAATGCTGTTCTGAATATTTCCTGCAGGGCAGGTCTGGTCTTGACAAATTCCTTCAGTGTTTGCTTATCAGGAAAATTCTTTATTTCTGCTTCATATATGATACTTAGTTTTGCAGGATACAAAATTCTAGGCTGGGAATTGTTCTGTTTAAGAAGACTGAAGATGGGGCCCCAATCCCTTCTCGCTTATAAGGTATCCATTGAGAAGTCTGCCATTAGCCTTCTGGGTTTTCCTTTGTAAGTTACTTGATGTTTTCACCTCAGGGCTTACACAGGAATTCCTCCTTTGTGTTGACATTGGCCAGCCAGATGACTATGTGTCTTGGTGATTGCCTCTGTGCAATGAATCTCCCAGGTGTTCATTGAGCTTCTTGTACCTGGATGTCTAAATCTCTAGCAAGACAAGGGAAGTTTTCCTCAATTATTACCTCAAATAGGTTTTCTAACCCTTATTTGTTTTCTTCTTCACCCTCATGGATGCCTGTCATTCTTATATTTGACCATTTTACACAGTCCTATATTTTTTGTAGACTTTATTTATTCCTCTTAATTCTTTTTTCTTTATTTTTGACTGACTGAGTTAATTCCAAAGAGTTTTCTTCAAGCTCTGAGATTCTTTTTTCTGTCTGGTCTAGTCTATTCTTAAAACTTTCCACTGTGTTTTATATTTTCTTATTTGAAATTTTCATTTCTAGAAGTTCTATTTTTTGTTTTTAATATGTCAATGTCTTTAGTGAATTTTTCATTCGATTTCTGAATTGTTTTTCTGGTTTCTTTGAGTTGGTTTTTCAGGTGAGGGAGTGAGGCTGAGCAGGGCTGAGTTGGCTGAACCTGCTCTCAGGCTCCACAAAAGTTGGTAAGGTAGTTGTGTCACAAGGGGTCAAAAGTCCAGGCCTAGTCTTCTGGGGAAAACCACCAGGGAGAGGCTGAAGTGGCCCCACTCAGCCAGAAAGTCGGCTTGTTGGGGAGGAGCCATCTGAGATTCACAATCTGGCTTTCAGGAGCAGGTTTCATTCTTCTCCCTCCTCCACTGCTCCCTGGTCTCCCTCCAACATCTGCCAGTAGGCAGGAGCTCAAACTAGCTGAGCTCCTCAGCAATGACACTTCAGGCTGGGAGCTTCCCTGTCCAGGATCCAGCCCTGTTCTGAGAGCATGACTTTCCTGTTGGGGGAGGGATATTCCATGAGTGTGCTGTGGCTGGGCCTACATTGTGCTCTCTTTTGAGTTCTGCCCACACAGGCTCCCTCGCCTCCTGAGATAAGTTCACAAATCTTCCCTCCATGCCCCTAAGCAGCCAGGCAAGCAGCACCAAAGAGGGCTGGTGAGTAGGGAGATCACAGTCTGAGTACCCCTTAGTCTGCTGAAGGTCTTTAAGAGGAAAGGTTTGAACCCCACTCTCTGTAGAAGCCTCAGTGTGATGGATACACCAACAGAGGGGAAGCAGCCACTCCTGAAAGCCCTGGCTCAACGGCCTCTCTTGGCAGCCATGGGCAGGGGAGGGGAAGGGAAGAAAAAGAATCTGAATGGAGGAAAGCTAGCACTCTGGCCATCTCTGTCCTTCTTTCTGGAAGGCAGCCCATTCAGAATGTCCAGGCTCTGGGGTCACACAGACCTCCCGGCACACACCAGCCCCCTGTGGCTCCTGTAGTCTGGGCAAGAGTTGGGAAATGTTTGTGTGGGATCAAGCACAACAAACACTTGAGGGGCTCAAGTCACCTGAGGAGGACAAAGGTGCATAGTGGGTGGAGAATCAATATGGTAACTGGTGTCTTGGCTTGGGTCTGTGGTGATGGGAAGTGACCCCAAGGGAGCTGGCAGGCTGGTGATTTGTCTTCAAGAAGCTCCCAGTTGCCATAGAGAGGGTCGCTGGAAAAGAAGGCAAAAAAGAAGCTCCCAGTTCACTGGTGGCAGCAGCTTTTGGGCTCATGAGGGTAGAAAGGCTCTCCAGCAGCTCGGGAGCCTGTTGACTGCCATAGATGTGAGGAAGGGAGAAACAAACCACTCCATCTTCCCTTTTCACTGGACTCCAAGCCTCTCAGGGGTTGATCTCTGTCAATATCTTTCTCCTTCTTGTTCTGGTCTGCACCTTCTTCTGGTGGACTCTCTGGTAGGTTCTGCACCTTTCCCTCAGAATTACACCTGATCTATATTTGTTTGTCTGTTTCTTTTTCATTTAAAACTTTTCCTTCTTTCTGAGAGGATCTGGCAGCTGGTGTCTCTAGTCAGCCATCTTGAAGTCTAATTTTGTTTTTTAAATATCTAGTTTCCTGCTTTTCTTAAAAATCTGAGGTCACACTCTTGCAGAGTAAGAAGTTCACTAACTCCTTACTGGAGTGCAGTATTTGCTGTCCTCATTACACAAGGCTCTCCAGTTTGCCACCTCCTTTATGTACCTTATTTTACTCATTTACTTTACTAGGCTGCTCCCTCTGGTCAAGTGGGCTCATGACCCCTTGTGAACCATGAAGAAAATTCAAGAAGTGAAGCTGTTCAATGGTGGAAGGGATTGCAAGATGGAGCATCCTTAGAGAGTTTCATTTGCTCATTCATTTATTCACTCATTCATTCATTCATTCAGCACATATGTGGAATATCTGATAAGTGCCAGATGCTGGGCTCAACTCAGAATATAAATATTTGGGACTTCTTTTTGTTAAGGTTATATGTAGCCATAGTTCTGGAGGAGGTTATCAAAATGTATATAATAGAGAGAATTGAGGGAAAAATATTGGCAAATTTTAGGAAATGCAATAAAAATTCTAAAAAGGGCTAATAATGTGAAGGGTCTTAAAGTATGGGGAATTTAAAGAAGGAAGGGGTGTTCAACAATGTAAAATTGTGGCTGACAATGCAATATTTTAAAGTAGCAAAACTGTATGTGTTCCCCATGAATATATACAAATAAAATAAAATTATGGCTGAGAAATGAAGTCAAATGAAAACAAAAAAGAAAGACCATTCTATGAGGTAAGTAACAAATCTCTGGTGACATTTAAGAGGACACTTACAGTGGACTAATAAAACCAGGTGCAGTAGTTAGAAGAATGAGAGTGAAGGGCATAAGAAAGAGATGGGAGTGGATGTGAATGGAAATGGTGGGGGTTGGCTGAAGAGAGGGAGGTGGGCCAATTATTTGGTAGGCTACAGGAGAGGACCAGTGAAGAGGACCGAATAGAAAGTCTTGGCACCAGACAGTTCACAAGGATAATCATATTCTAGAAAGGATTCAATCTAGCTGAAGGGCCATTATCTTAAATTTTTATATAAGAGCCAACTTTGGTAACTTTTCCATAAACTACATCTTCAAGGTCATTTCTTGGGACACATTCTAGGTAGGTATTTTCACCATGAATGTCTTCTTTAATTGGCATCAAATTCAGTGACAGTAAGCAACAAAAGAAAATCTGTTGATTCTAAATTATGTCTTATTTTCTGGCATTCCACTTTTCACCTTAATTCAAAATGATTGTAAATGTTGGTTCTATGGCTCTGTTGGAAATGACAATGTTTTCCACAGAGGCATAATCTTGCACCAATGAAATCAGGTGACATCATTCTATAGAATTCTCTACACCTTGGGTACAAATGATGCATTTGTACAGTTTATGCTAGGATGATAATGCTTATTGCATTCTTTTGTGGACCTACACCAAACATGTTATTTCTCCCAACTTTGACATTCAAAAAAATCTAATGGCAAGAACATATTCATCAGATAAGGATAAAATGAACTCAGTAAAAGAAAAAAGGAAAATTGAGTGCATGTAGTTCTGAATTTTCATAAGGTAATATGGCCTGAGTAACATGAGTTATGAGGATATCTTTGTTTCATTTCTGTAGCTGTGAAATTAGAAAGAAAATAAAACCTGCCACCTGATTGTGACTTTAAAAATAAAAACTTCTTAAATTGTTTCTTCAAAGTACTTTTAAACAAAATGTTTATAATGTAATTTTTAAAAATGAAGGCACAACTTGAAATGGAAGGAAAACTGATTGTTCCTATATTTTTGGAATGAATTATGTCCTGCTGCTGTTCCTCCCTAGCAGACAGTCCTGCACCTGGAATTTGGTACAAAAGTATGTTTTTACTGGTTATTTTTATTCAAGTATCATGTACACATATAGCACTGAACTTTGAACAGCCTCATCTATATTTACTGATAATTGAGATATGTTGCTTATTGGAAAACAAGAGTAGGATATCCAAATACATTTGTTATATAGTCTGTAAAATGAATGATACAAGGTCAACTCGGTTTTTCTTCCACAATATATGGGAAGAAATCCCAAGTGGTTGCTTCTAAAGGTCTTAGTTTACAAGTAGAGTATAAACAGTGTTGAAGTACACCTCAACTAGTCCATCCTTCAGAGCCCAGCCACAGAGAATCCAGATAGGCACAGCTTCCATTTCCCCTTCCCCCTTTGTCTCCACCACCGTAACAGCAATGACTACAGCCACCCAAAGATGAACCCTGGAAAGGTTTAACTCCCTTCTAATCCATTGTTTGTACAGTCAGGTTTAGGGATTTCAAAATTCTCAAACAACCATCTTCCTACAATTTGGAGGAAAATTGTTGTACAAAGTAGTTTAGCAGAGACTTTCCCTCTCATTTGAAGCCATTATAGAGATTGCAGTTAAGGAAAACAGATTTGAAATTTTTTCCAATTAATAAAACAATGATTTATTAAAAATTAGCTAATTAATCCCACAGCCTATCTAAATGTATTACAAGTCCATCTCAAAATAAGTAAACATGATCATCACGGGTCTGTATCTCATATTAGGATAAGCACTAAATAAAAAGCCTATTTTGCTAGCGGTTCAAAATTTAAGACGGGAACATATGCAGTACTCAGACAAAAACTGTGTAACATGTGGTCTACTTACCCCTGCAAGGCTTTCTCTCCAAACCAGTCTCCTTTTCCTAAAGTTCTAAGAAAGACTGGGTCTTCACTTGGTGAGTCTTCACGAGTGACATTTACCTAGAAAGAGAAACAGGGAAAGTTTAAATCTATTCCACATACCTGTAATGATCAAATGAACACTAGGCCCATTTGATAAGGTTAATTCCATTTCTTGTTTCTTTTTTTAACTTATTTTTATGAAGGAAAAGAGTTTCAATTACTACTGAAGGGACTAAAGAATAATATCACAAATTTCCATGAAAACCCATAAAAACTTACCTCCAAATATTTTGTTATCCTTTCAAGTTGTTTTCAAGAAATAATAAATATTAGGAAATTTGATTTCACTTAATTCTTATCTTCATTTCCATTTTCCTACCTTCTATGACTCACACACTATAATGAATTCAGTGAGCATTCTCTCCATCTACTTTATGTGTTTATATACATGTGTTTTTAAAATAAGCAACATAAATTGTATGTATTATTCTACAACTTACTTTTTTCTTAGCATTGTTTTAATTACTTATTCTATGATATTAGATATAAATCTAATTCATTTATTTTAATGTATTAGAGTCTTATTCCATTATATAAATACATTTACTTACCCATATTCTTATAAATTGGCATTTATATTGTTCTAATTTTTTTCTTTTTTCTTTTTGCTGCAATAAACATCCTTTTACACATCTCCACATGCACATCCTAGTTTCTCTAGGATATGCCTGTCTCTTTCCCTAAGAAGGATCTAGCTTTCATTCAAAGACGCATCACATTTACATGAAGACTTCCTGCAGGGTTCTAACGAACTAGTCCTCATAATCCACATGCTTTATTCAGTAGGTTTCTTTTTTAAAAGCTATATAAATTACTTACATGTCTTTTTTGTTTTTATCATAACAAATACTATGTTCTTCAAAGAAAGGGGTATTTCTTTGGCATTCTCTACAATTTATATAATAAGCACTCAATAAATTGCTGTAAATTGTTTAACAGAATGCTTCACTACTTACAAGATACCCTACCATACACAGGACTTGTGACTTAGGGGATAGTCCACAGAAGGCAGTGATAATGGTTTTTTTGTTGTTGCATGAATGAAAACATAAATGGAGTAAGTTGTACTTTTGTGTTAATTCACTTCCACCTCAAGCTCTACTAATACTCGTAATACTTTCTGTGTGTCATCCAGAAAGGTTAAATAGTTGAAATTCACCTACTTGGAAAATGTAATGAAGTAGAAAAACTAATTTCTTGAAACAATGCCAGACACTTAAACACATTTAAAAATACTATGCTTCAGGTTTCTAATTTGGATATTGGATGTCAAAGACCAAAATTTTTATAAGTATAAAGAAGGTCTGTGCAAGGTGGAAAAAATTCAATTATTATTCTCCACTGATCCATTTGATTACTCCTCCACACAGTGTTTCAAACCATGGAAATTCAGTTTTTAACACTCTTACTTACTGCTAAGCTATATCATAGAGACACTAATTTGCATGTCGGTGAGACTTTTATAGATGTAGAATCTTTAGGAAGGAGTCTGATTTAAAATAAAGGTTACTGGGCTCTTATTCTTGAGGTTCTGATTCATTCAGCTATTAATATGTAAAGAGTTGAAATTCATTTTCTTTGCATAGTAGCCCATTATATGGACATTATGCAATTTATTAATTCTTCTATAGATGTAAATGTGGATTGTTTCCAGTTTTATTTTGGCTATATTTTATTTTTGTTGTTGTATTAACAATATTACTATGAATGTTCTTATACATGTGTTCAGATGTCCACAAGTAAGAGTTCACTAGGGTCAACATTTATGAATGAAGAACAAGGTTATTAAGTATATGCCTCTTCAATTTTACTAGATATTGACTCACTCTTGGTACAAACTTACATTCCTAGCATTAGAGGATGAAATTTCATATTGTACTATATTGTTGTCAAAAGTAAATATTGTCAGACTTTGATTTTTTTCCAGCAAGGTAGGTATTAGATGGCATTTCTCTGATTATTAATAGAGGCAGAGAATTTCTCATCTCTTTTTTGAGCCACTTGTGTTTCCTTTTGGTAATGTTTATGATCATGCTTTTTGCCTATTTTTCTATTGGATTGATTATCTTTATTTTTTGTTGATTCACAAGCCTGTGGTTTGTCTAAAATATCTTTATGGTGTCTCAGTGAGCAAATTTATTAATTTTAATGTAATCATATGTAACCATGTTATCTTTTATTGTTTGTACTTAAAAAAATATTGTCCAAGAAATTCCTTTGCTATCCCAAGCATTCTTCTAATTACTTTTTATTTTTTTCTAATTTTGCCTCTTACATTTAAATGTGAAATTGATCTTGTGCATGTTGTGAGGTAGGGATCCAATTTTATCTGTCCCTATGCATAATCAATTGTTTTGATACCTGAATTGCCCAAGTCAAATTTCCATATAGTCATGAATCTTTATCCGGGCTCATTATTCTCTTATTCTGATATGTTTGTGTGGTTCTGAGTCAAATTAAGGCCATATTATTTCCGTTATCTTCACCTTATAATAAGTCTTGATGTGTATTATAGCAGCCCCCAATGTATTTCTCTTCCTTTTGGATGTTTTACCATGTTGGTCTTTTGCTCTTCATGTAATATTTTAAATAAAATTTTCTTCTGAAAGGACTTTAACATTTTCCATTAGTTATAATCCCAGATACTTGATTTTGAAATGATCTTTTTAAACCATATTTTTAACTGGGTGTTGCTAGTATTTAAAAATGTATATGGATTTTTTAAAATTATCATATATTAAAATTTACTATTTTCTTCTTTTGATATACAGTTCTATGGATTTAAACACAGATTTGTCTAACTCCCATCACAATCAGATACAGAACAATTTCATCACCTCAAGAAACTCCCTCATTCTATGTGTTTATAATCACATCCTCCTCAAAGCTTACCCTTGACAACCAATGATCTGTTCTGCATCATACTAATTCACCCTTTTGAGAATACCACGTAAATGGAATATTATAGTATTTAACCTTTTGAGACCTGTTTTTCTTATTCAGCGTAAGGCCTTTCAGATTCATCCAAGTTGTTGTAAGTTTCTATAATTTATGCTTTTCAGGGCTGAGTAATATTCCATTGAATGAATACACTACAAATTGTTTATTTCCAGTCTTCATAAATTACGAATAGAGATATTACAAACATTGATGCAGAGCTATTGTGTGAACTATATTTTCATTTTTCTAGGATAAATACCACAAAGTATGATTGCTGAGTCATATTGTAAGTGTTTATTTAACTTTATAGAAAACTACCAAATTGTTTTCCAGAATGGCTTTACCATTTTGCATTCCCCACCAGCAATGTATGAGAGGTCTTCTTGCTCAACATCCTCACCAGCACTTGGTATTGTCAATATGCTTTTAATTTTAACCATTCTGTTAAACATGCAGTAGTATCTCATGGCTTTAATTTCTAATTTTCTAATGTCTAATGAGTTTGAACATCTTCATGTCCACATTTGCCATTCTTGTATCTTCTTTGCTGATGTATCTATTCAAATCCTTTGTCCATTTTCTTAATTGCATAGTTTGTTTTTTTTTTTTTTTTTTTGAGACAGAGTCTCACTGTGTTGCCTGGGCTAGAGTGCCGTGGCATCATCCTAGCTCACAGCAACCTCAAACTCCTGGGCTCAAGCGATCCTCCTGCCTCAGCCTCCCGAGTAGCTGGGACTACCGGCATGCGCCACCATGCCTGGCTAGTTTTTTCTATATATTTTTAGTTGTCCAATTAATTTCTTTCTATTTTTAGTAGAGACGGGGCCTCGCTCTTGCTCAGGCTGGTTTCGAACTCCTGAGCTCAAACAATCCGCCCGCCTCGGCCTCCCAGAGAGCTAGGATTACAGGCGTGAGCCACCGCACCCGGCCTCATAGTTTGTTTTTTTATTGTTGACTTTTGGGTGTTCTTTATATAGGCTCCATACAAGCCCCTTACCAGATATCTAATTTCCAGATATTTTTCCCAGTTAGTATTAATAGTTTGTATTTTCATTTTTTAAGAGTGATTTTCACAGAATGAAAATTTATAAATTTATAAGTTTGATAAACCCCAATTAATCAATTTTCTTTTATGGATTGTGCTTTTGGTGGCATGTCTAGGAACTTTTTATCCAACCCCAAGTCGTAAATGTTTTCTTCTAAAAGTTTTATAGTTTTGCAGTTTACTTTTAAATATATTATTAATTTTGATTTAATTTTTATATAAGCTATGAAGTTTATGTCAAGGGTCAGCATTTGTTTGCCTGTGGATTACTAATAGTTCCAACACAATTTGTTGAAAAGATTTTTCTTCCTCCGTTGATTGCTTTCATTCATTGATTTCTCTGTTTTCTCAGAAAAATCTGTGAAAAATCTGTTAACTGTAGGCATGTTATAGATACCATTTATCAGGTTGAGGAAGTTCTCTTATACTCTTAGTTTGTTGATAATTTTTATTATGAATGAATATTATATTTGTCAAATGATTTCACTGCACCAATTGACATGATAATGTGATTTTTCTTCTTTAGACAGTAATTCGGTGGATTATATTGAATGATATGGCTTATTTGATATTTAATTTACAGCAATGTGTCTAGTTATGTAATGTCCAATACAGTTGCCACTAGCTGCATGTAGCTATTCAGCTATTGCAATGTTGCTACTGAGAAATTGACTAAATTAAATATTTAATTTAATTTAGGTTAATTTTAATTTAAATAGCAAATAGAACTAATGGCTACCATATTGGATTGTGTAGCTAGAAAACAGTTCCATTAACAAAGAAAAATGTACTAACAATGATGATCTTGCTAAACTCTTAATCATAATCATGTATCTGTCTACATAAAAACTTAGAAGAAGCTAAAATCATATCATCTGTAAATAATTATTGTTTCTTCATTTCCAAACATTTTGTCTTTTTCTTGACTTGTACAGTAGTTAGTACCACACAAACAAAAGTGGTAATAATGTGCATCTTTATCTTGTTCTTCATCTAAAAGGAAATGTTTCTCAGTTTTCGCTATTATGTATACATAAACATGTGTATACATATACAAGTAAAATTTCCATAAGTGAATACTTTCCACATTCAAAAACACTAAGCATTGTGTTAAGTCAATATGTTTAATCAACATGTTCAAACACTTGTTAATCCTATGAAACAAAGCCATTTGATTATAAATGGCATTTAACAGACAAGAATCTGTGAATCACTTATTTCTAAAGGTAGCATACAAGGCATATCGAATAGAATCAGAAAAATCAAAATGCATTCAAATTATTATTGGAACTCTGCAATTTTGTCTACCCACTATGTTCAATTTTGGTTCAACACATTTATGGAGAGATAGTTCATTTTTTGATGCAACACAACTGCAGGGACATGCGCAGAATTCTACAGTGCTTTATAGTTCACTGTTGGGGGAGGAAGTCATGTTTCTAGGCAACTGGAATGTACTGATTGAAGTACAAAGAACTAACTCAGCTTCTACTAGAAGCAGCATCAGGTATCATAGACATCATCACCACAAGCATTCTGTCTCAAGTTTTAGAAAAATCAGTTTGTGCAGGTTTAATGGGGGGAAAAACAAGTATTTCAAAGTTTATTTTATAACGCTTCACTCTTTGTGTGGATATGCTTAATGCAAGAATAAAATTTGTTTTACATTTAAATAAATGGAGCCGAACAAGGAGAAGTTCATTTGTAGCTCAGCAGCCCCTGTTGTGGGTCTCCTTCTATCTCGTAGCATTTTCTAAGAAAAAGCTAGCTCAGTGGTAACAAGGAAAATATCTTAGCCAAGGTTACCCTTTATAAATTTTTTAAATGCAAGGGAAAACAAGTTTACATTAGTATACCAAAAAGAACACATACAGTTTTAGAAAATTCCAATTCTATAGTTTATTCGCCTGCTAACCTGAACCTACTTTTTGATATTGATCTCTTTCCAATATTTTGCCACTGAGACTTGATTATTCTCACTTCACCTTCTGCTTCTTAAGACTTAATATAGTGACTCTAACACATTAATATCAGAATTAATATAATTAACTATTATCCCATATTAATTATTATGTAATTAATATAATTGAGAATCATAGCAGCTAACTTGTGTGACCAGAAAATTTAAGTTACTAAAAATCTATGCCTGGTTTAAAAAAATATGTTGTATGTGTCAAGAAAGTCTAATATATTATCACTGCTTCTCTCTCAGAATCCCCACAGTGCTCTGAAATATTGCCACGGGAATTGGTTCCCGTGGTGTAATTTCCCCACTGTTTCTATTTATACATATTATGAAACTTGTAAAAAGAAAAAGCACCACTAATGCATCTGTCTTCAGCTGAAACTGATTATGAAGCACTACTTCTTTTAGGCAGTGAAATCTGCAGTAATTGGGTAATCACAAAAGCCTGCCTGAAATCCATCCCAATGGATAAACACATCAGTCCATGATAGTGAAGAATTAGCAATGTAGTAAAGAAAAAATAAATCCAAATCATTAGTACAAAAAGTCCCCTTGTGATCAATCAAATCATTTATATCGACGAGAAATTTCAATTTCCCCTAATTCTTTAGTCAATATTAAAAATAAAACAGTAAATGGTAAGCTCTAACCATCTATCATAAAAACCAGAAAATATTAACATTTTTTCCCTCAAACGTTAGAAAATACAAGATACCATTTTAATCCTAACTGTGATGAGATATGTTATTTTATGATGCCTTTTAAGAAGCCAGTCCCTGCGTTCTATTTCTATTCCAGGCTTTCAGATAGCAGTCAAAAGAACAGGTATATCAGAATTAATATAAATGGGTATAGTAAAAGTATAAATATTGTTTTCTTCATTTTAGTGTGACATGCCATTGGTATAAACACTGACATATGTATGCATATACCTGAATCAAAAGTAGTCCAAGAAGGATTATCTAAAATGTGATCCAGTAAGACTTATAATTTTTCATGTATTCTATTCACTATAGCTCTGTAAGTAAATCTCTATATGAGATATAAGGTACCAGAGTCAGTCATTTTGTAAATTAGAAAAAATAAATTTACTTCATTTTTTAAAATGACAATTATAAAAATGAAAACTAGAATATATGCCCCCTTCGACCAGCATATCCTTCTCCATCTCTTTCTATAATTAATATATACAAAGATAGGAAATATTTTTAAGGATAACATTGATTAAGAAAAATAAGTTCAAATCATGGGTTATGGTGCAATGCACTTAAATGCAAAAATGATTATAGCTTTACTGTTGAAAGAAATTTAAGTAATATAATATTAGAGTGTTAATCTAAATAAATTTCCACTTTTCATTTCACTTCACTTCTTAGTTTTAAAATATAAGTTAGAATAGTTTCATATTGTTGAAAAACTAAAACAATATAAGGAATGAAGTATGGGTTTTCACTCATATTTCTTGGCTACTTCGTTTTTTTTACCTCTTCCCCTATAATTTATCACTTTTAGTAGCTTCTTAGTATTCATTCAATGTTTATTTATGAAAACGCAATAAAACCTGAGTATAGTTCTAACCTTACAGCCGTCAGAGTGTTAAGCAACTTGCCTAAGGACACTCAAACGAGTAAGTTTCATAGCAGTATTCAAACTTACGCCATCTGATTTCAAAGCCCAGATGTTTTATTTATACCAATGTTACTGCCCCCAATGAATGGATGGATTTTTTAAGTAACCTAAGTATTTTCTTGTTTATTATATTATTTTAATTTTGGAACGCTTTCTATTCACACAGATATATCAGTGGCATCCAGCATCATGATTATCAGGACATAGGCTACTTACTCATCTTCAAGGTTACACTTTTTCTTCCTCCTGCATCATTTTTTGGAAGATCCATTCCCAAGTATCTCTTGGTCAGTGTCAGTGTCAGAAGCTGGACAAACTTATGTGGCACAATTCTCTGCACGTGAGCTCCTACCAGGGTTGCTGCCCAGGCCCGGTCTCCCCCAGCGCATCACTATCTTATGCCACCAAAGCTTACCTTTCCTTTGCTGATGATAAAGAAGGTATCCCCTCTTGCACCTTGCCTGATAATATATTCCCCATTTTCGTAGTGGGTCTGAAAAATAGGAACAGTATGGAAAAAAAAACATTAAGAAAGGAAGAATCTACCAAATTGTTCAACCTCTTCAAATATCAGCTCCCAGGGAAGTGTGCATTTTGATGGAATTTTATCCAAGCCTATAATAGAATCCTTCATGATTTAAGAATGAATAATAGTCAATAGATGGAATCATTACAAATATATCACATCCATAATGCTCATATTCAAAACTGTTTTGTTGATGTCATTTTTCTGGGTGATTATATTCATATCTTTAAATTCATTCATTTCAATTATTTGATGTAAATATCCTTTTCTCCCATCAATTGAGCATGAAATAAAATAGCCGAGTTGCTAATTAAACTGGTCTTTCTGCATTATTTTATTTGTCATTCTCATTTTATTTTAGTATTGTCATAATGAGAGCCTTTTTTTTCCTAAGAAATTACTGTGACATCTAAAGGTTGTCACAGTAATCTACTGTGACATCTGAAACCAGGTTGACTTTTAGTGTGGGTTAGATGGCCCTGTTACTTTTTAAGGCACTGCTTCATGCTTTATGTCCTTGCTTCAGCAATTTAGACTTGGCCCTGTCAAACAGAATGTCTTAATTTTATGGACTGAATTCTGGTCCAGCATCTGTGAGCTCAAAAACTATGAAACGAGGAGTAAGGTAAGGGTGTAAAAGGATTATCACAGTCAGTGTGTCAGTATTCTGACTCAGATCCTACCACTAAGTCCATTCCCAGGGTGAAGATTACTCCTGCAATGAGCAAAGTAATTTCTATAAGGAGAGATGGGAGAAAGTATATTGCTAGGTCAGGAGGTATAACACAAAAATGAGAACGGTGCTATCTGGCCTTATCCTTCTCTGCAGCTTAGCAGGGGAGTCATATTTTGGGGAAAAAACATTATTTTGCACACTCCTTAGGAAACAGATTTCATGGTTTACATGTAATTAGGCTGATGGCTGTGATTTGCCCTTATACTTCAAAACCATTTTTCTTAACACTTTATTTTATTCCCTCTTAAAATTGCCTTTCATTAACACTTGACGTTGAGAAGACACATTATTTTCTTTGTGTTTCTAGAAAATTAACATAGTACCTAATCTGCTACTTATTTTATTTTTTTACTCAAAACTAATTAATTTTCCTAGAAACAAGTTTTTTTTAATGTAAAAAAGTTCTTCTTTATTTCCTTCTCCCAATTTCAACCATCAGTTGTTATATACAGTCTGGTTTGTACCCTTGAAGACTTTTTTCCTATACTTTTAAACACACACACACACACACACACACACACACACACACACACATATATATACATACAAATAATTATTTCTAAATAAAAATAGGGTTATAGAATGCATATCTTTCAACTGAGTTATTTGATTTAACAAGATATCTATGTTTGATTTTCATGTCTTGCTGCATTAGAATGGAAAGATATTTATGAAATGCAGATTTGAAAAACAAAATCACAATAGTCTATGTTCATGTATTCATTCAGCCAATGAAGGCTGCCTCTGAGTCCAGCCTTCTTATAGGCACTGATAATACGAAGATGACTAAGACAAAAATCTCATAATAGCACCATGTGATATATCTTTCTTTGATAGTGGAAATGTTCCAGAATTGCATCATTGAATATACATAGTAGCCACTAGCCACATGGGGTTATTGCGTGCTTAAAATATGGCCAATGTAACTGAGAAACTGAATTTTTAAATTTATTTAACTTTAATCGATTTCAATTTAAATTTAAACAGTCACACATGGCTAGTAGCTACTGTTTCAGCAAAGGTAGTAGTTAGAACTGACAGAGTAAGAATTCGTAGCAGTGGGACAAGGGGGAAGGGCGTTCTCTTTCCCACTCTTGATGTTTCTTTCCCTGTGAATGAAGCTCAATCAGTAAAACACAGGACCTCTCTCGTTTCCTTTCCTCACTCTACAGCACAGGCGATGGCATGACTTATCTGATTGGTAAGCTTTGAAGTAATCAGCCATGTGTGCTTATCCCAGCTTCTCCTCTCTTCCTCGTGGGATGGCTGGTATTCTCTCTGCTTCTGAAGGCAAAGACTCTTTCTCCTACCGTAGTGAAGCCTGCCCCTGTCTGAGCTCCTGTAATGGGACAGGTAATTTTGCCCCATGACAAAGTCCAGTCTGGGAAGCCATTTGGCTCTTCCATCTAAGCTACTTCCTCCGTCTAGATTTTATTACTAATAATGGTAATATTTTAGCTCCATTTATCTTACTTCTTTGTCTTATTTCTCACTTGGTTCCTAACTCAAGACCACTTAAACCCCCCCAAATAATCTAGTATGCAAAACGCACTATTATATATAAGTACAAGCATATGTGAGAGAGAGCACAGTCTGGAAGAGACCTGAGTCTTTCTAACGGCTTCTCCAGGGAGGATTCTTGAGCCTCAACTGAAGGATGAGGAAAAGGTCACTGATGTTCAGCAGGAGAAAGAGGAGAGTATGAAGTTTATTGTGATCACATAATGTTAGAGGATGTGAAATTAGTTTGGAAAATGTAGAAAAATACATATAGAAAGCACCAAAAAATGGAAGAATTCTTAACTCATTTGAGCTCATTCTCCTCACCTTGCTCCTTTTAAAAAAGCATATCCCTATCTGTATGATAGTCATTTCCTTTTAGAAAGCTGAAATCATTTATAATATTTTAAAAGGTATAAGGTAAGGGTTTCTTAACCTCAACACTATTGACACTTTTAGGCAGATAGTTCTTGTTGGAGGGAGGTACTGAAGGATGCTTAGCAGCACCACTGGCTTCTTCCCACTAGATGCCAGCAGCATCCCAACCCCAATGTGGAAACCAGAAGCGTCTCCAGATATTGCCAAATACCCTGTTTAGAATAAAACTGGCCCCAGTTGAGAGCAATTGCTCTAAATCTTTCATGTTTTTAATTTCTTCATCTTAAAGAGTTGAAAGTTTGGAAGGAACATCCAGACATAGTCTAGCTATTTAATTCATGAAAATAATCACTTTTTTAATACCATCTGATATAGTTTTTTGTAACTCAACACCCACAATTGCTACTTGAGTTATTTTAGTTTACCTGCACAGGCATTCACCCAACATATTTCCATGCTGCCTAAGCTCATAAAACGCAGGGGTCCAGAGAAGAGCCTATGGAATAGTGGCCAAAGGCATTTGTTTGGGAAGAATAATATTCATGGTGTCATAACACCAGTACTATAAAATGACTATGCTATCCTGAATGTTTAATTGCACCTGAGGGGAAGATGATCATACATGCTGATTCTTGGAGAGGCTCTCTAATTATGTTAATCAAATACTAGCAGTTTCATTGTTTCTTGAAGGTCACTTTGCAACACATAAGAAAATAAGCCATTTTCTTATTTCAAATTAAGTTGCAGAAATATACAGAATTTAGAATGGGAAGAAACTTTAGTGACTAGACAGTTTCCTTTAAAAGGTTTCTATAGTTATTAGGATAAAAGCCAATCTCCCTAACATGGCCTAACAGAGATCCTCAACCTTTTTGGCACCAGGGACCGTTTCATGGAAGACAATTTTTCCACAGATGGGGGTGGGGAGGGGGAGCTCAGGCGGTGATGGGAGCAATGGGTATCAGCTGTAAATACACATGAAGCTTCACCCCCTTGCTCACCGCTCACCTCCTGCTGTGTGGGCCCACTGGCCACCCGACCCAGTTCCTAAGTTTTGTGAAAGACAATTTTTCCAAGAGGGGAGGTGCAGAGCTCTGCAGGCTGGATCCCTAAGAGGTGTTGGGGACCGCAGGCCTACAAGACCATGTATAGTCTGCTCGATGCCACAGTTTCCAGCCTCTCCTCACTCTCTCCCAGTTTGCCCTTCAGCCCTACTGGTTCTCTGAGGTCTGTTCCTCAACGGCAATCACCGGGACTACACACAGCCACTGTTGCTCACCTAGTAACATCCTACTTCTCTTTCAGATCTTAGCCTTCCCTGACCTGGCATATCCACCCACCTACCACCACCACCCCACAGCCCCCCACCCCCAGGCTGAATTAGGTCTCTTCGTTACATGAACTTACAGTACCACATAGCTCTATTTCATTGTCGTTTTTAAGCATGTACTTATTTATTTACTTGTATGATTATTTTTCACCAGATTTTAAGTCTTATGAAGGCAAAGACTATGTCCGGTTTTGTTCACCATAGTATCTCCATTACCTGACCTCATGCTTGGAACATAGTAGGGACTCGAAAATATTAATTGTATAACTGAAGTAGCGCTCCTTCATCCTCATCTTTAGCACTGCACATAGTCCATTAGAAAGACTTCTACCTCCAATACATGTGCCAAGCCCAAGATCCCTCCACTATCTCTACTGTTGTCTTCCTAGTCCTAGACAAAATCATGTTATGGACTTTTGCAATCTCCTCCTATCTGGTCTTCCTGTCTCTCACCCAATCACCCCACCCCACACTATCCCATCTATTATTCTCACTGCGGCCAAAGGGACCTTCAAATAACAAATCAATTGAAATCACTCTACTACTTAAAAACTTCCAATGGCTTCTTGCTACAACTAAAATTATAAGCATCTTACCGTGGTCTGTAAAGTTCGCTGTATTCTGACCCCTCTCCACCTCCATCCTCGCTCCCTCCCATTCTCTACCTGACTCATCCTGTTTCAGACACACAGGCTGTCTTCCAGAGCCCTGTGCTTGCCAGGCCAGAGCCCTCCTTAGAACTTTGCATTCAAAAGGCCCTCTATCTACCACACTCCTCCTGAAGGTCTTTGTTATTACCTGCTCTCACCACTGGGGCCTCACAAAGTCTTTCCTGGCCAATCATACTAAAGGGCCTTCTAACCCCACTCACTCTGTAGCCTGTATTCCTGCTTCATATTTTTACATATTAGAAAACTATCCAAAGCTGCCAAAATGCTTCTACACACTTGAATAACTTCTCGATAACCCACACAGCTTCAAACCACATCACAAGGGAGCCTCCTGTGAGAAAAACCTCTATCA